CCCTCCCCGGGGATTATTTTCCCCCTTTGGTGGGTCATTACCCATTCACACTTTGGGGGTTTTTCCTGGATCCCAATTATGGGGAATGGGGTTGGTATTTTCATTCAAGGAGGTAGTTTCCAAAGGGTGGGGGATTGTTCCGGGGTGCACTGCCCAGATTTTTCCCCTGGGAGGGGGGGATCAGGCCCCCCTCCAAAAAACGCACGCGGGGGGGGGTAAAGGATTTCCTGGAGGGGGGACAGCGGAAGTTGCCCCAGGTGGCCTCCCTGGTAATGGACGAGGGGGACCGGATCCTCAACATGGGTTTGGAGCCGCAGATCCCAAAGATTGTGCCCCAAGTGCCCCCGAAGGGGCAGACTTTTTTTTACAGGGCCCCCGGGCAAAAGGGGGGGCGCGCGCTTGGGTAGGAGTTCCTTGGGTCCCCCGGGCAGGGGGGGCTGCTCCCTTTTTGATAAACCCCCCCGCGCCCCGGGACGGGTGGGGGAAGACCCCCCCCCCCCCCCCCCCCACCCACACACACACACGCGTGCAGAGATCCCCTAGAGATCACGCCCCCCTCCCCTGCGAAGGTCGAGGTTGGCGACATCAACTCGCTCAACGCAAACAAGGACATCACGCAGGTCGTGCACCTCGTCGACGGGCAGGCGCAGAAGGCGTCCCTCATGAGCCAGGTCTTCGCGACGCTCGAGGCGGGCTCGCGCGTCATCGTCTTCACCTCGACCAAGCGGATGTGCGACTCGCTCGGCTCGCAGCTCGGCCGGAGGATCGGCGTGGGCGTGATCCACGGAGACAAGGACCAGCGCGAGCGCGAGATGGTGCTCGCCGACTTCAAGAGCGGCCGCCGGCCAGTGATGATCGCCACCGACGTGGCGGCGCGCGGCATCGACGTCAAGGACGTCAAGGCGGTCATCAACTACGACTTCCCGGGCAACATCGAGGACTACATCCACCGCATCGGCCGCACCGGCCGCGCCGGCGCCAAGGGCGTCGCGCACACCTTCATGGAGACGCGGCAAGGACTCGAACAAGGCGCGGCCGCTCGTCGACATCATGCTCAAGGCGGGGCAGCAGCTCCCCGCGCAGCTCGCGCAGATGGCAGGCGTGCGCCACGGCCAGTTTGAGGAGGCGGACATGGCGGCGCTGATGCGGCCCGTCGAGGGGCAGGGAATGCTCTCAGCGGAGTCTGCGCGGCTCGCTGCGCAGGCGCCGGCGGGCGGCGGCGCGACGTACGGCGGCTTCTCGCGCCAGCCGGGCGACACGGCGCCGGTGGACGAGGAGCGGCTCGGGCGGATGCTGGTGCAGCGCGAGCAGGCGCGCAAGCAGCGCAACTACCAGCTCGGCGACTCCATCCGCGACCAGCTG